GGGACTCCAGGATCATGACCTGAGCCGAAGGCAGTCGCCCAACCGACTGAGCCACCCAGGCGCCCTGTATCAGTGAATTTTTAAAAGAGTATACTGTAAGAAAGATTATATGTAAACATTTTAACGATTATTAGTTATAGCAAGGTTATCAAATATTAGTCATAATAATTAGCAGCAGCTTTGGGTATGTCTTTCTCTGATTGAGCTGATTTCACAACAGTTTACTTCTATCAGTCTAGCACAGAAGAGGGTACCTAAAGAAGAAGCTAGCAAATGCCTTCATGAATCAGTTCCTTTAATGTATAGAAATTTTAATCACATGACATTGGCTTCCTTACCAATCTTTAAAAAATACTTTAAAAAATACATACCCATAATAGAATACTTTTTTTTTTTTTTTTTAGAGAGTGCCAGCAGAGTCAGGGGGAGGGGTAGAGGGAGAGGGAGAATCTCAAGCAGGCACCATGCCCAGCATGGAGCCTGACGCGGGGCTCTATTCTCAGGACCTTTGCAATCATGACCAGAGCCGAAATCAGGAGTTGTACGCTTAGCCACCTGAGCCACCCAGGTGCCCCATGAATATGTTTTAATCCATATGCTTGACCTACATTTAATTAAAAAATAAAATTACAAACAATGCCAATTATACAAGCATGTTATAAAAAATAACACCCCCAGCGTATTTTCAAATGCAATCTTGTCTTTTAAAAATTCAAAGGTAACACCTTTTCTAGTGTTAACTAAAAATATGCATAATCCAAAATAAACTGTTTTTACATAGAACTATTATCAGCAGTGAAGCAGTTACATTAAACATGTAAACATTTAAAAATAGTGATGCCTTTGAAATGTAAGGGCACAAAGTCAACTCTCTTTACTTTATAGTTTAAGACTAACAGAACACTATACAAATGGTCATCAGTTAAAGTTTAATTACTGTTCAATAATTCATTCTTTAAAAAGACAAGGGCTTTGATAAATTCTGACCACAGGGACAGATATTTTCCCTGCCAAAGCACTAACTTCTTGTTCCTGGTAGTGTTCTGTCTGTATCTAGCACAGTTGTTCCTCATTCATGGTAACACAGGTGATTACATTCAAATGGCATTTACCATAAATTGAGCCAAACTGCCCTATAATTTCATTTTGGACTGAATTAATTAACTTCTCAGTAGGTGACTGAGGTGCTGAACACAAGCCTAAGGAAATACTTGACTGCTTAACCTACCTTATATGAATCTTCTCTAACACAAGGCAGCTTCCATTTTTAATAAACCAGAAAAATTTATTTAGTAGGATCTTAAAGGGTAAAGATAAGGCATTTATAATAAATGAAATTAGTTTTCCACATACATGCACATCCATTTAAAAGAAGTCAGGGGGCACTGCAGACAGTTAAGGAGGATTTAACCAAACTCCCCAAGAGTTGGCACACTTGATATTCTGAAAGACTGTGTTTACCTTAGGAGGTGTGTGTTTATAATAACAAAATGCCGTCTTTGTCCTTGGAAAGATGTTTAAATAAAAAGCTCACCACTTTGTAGCAAGTAAAAATAATACTATCTTAATGCTGTTGTAAGTAATTTATGTCCCAGAGCTTGAAATGTAAATGTAATTTTCTAAGACATTATCTTCAGATCATCAGAATTATCATAATATAAAATATCTACTTTCTGTTTCTCTAATTATAATATTATCAAGATCTGACAGCTAACTCTTTGTTTTCAAGTTTATAGTCTTCATATATCAAGAAACAAATTAAAAGGACAAACAAGGAATGTGAAAAGGCAGCTCATAAAAAGCTGAAACATCTTTTATTACATGACATATTTTTATCTGTCATAAACTTCCGGTTTAGGAAATGAGAAAACAAATACTTCTTTTGACGAACTCCTTGACAAAGTGTTTAACTAAGTATTTTTAGATTTTTTTTAACTGTGGAAGGAAGGAAGGAAGGAAGGGAGTAAGAGGGAAAGAAGGAAGGGAGGGAGCCCCGACTTTGTATTATACCTTTTGGGGGAAGTGAGCTAACATTTAATGAACACCACGCTAAAGGAAGTGAAGCTGAAGACTTCAGCCCGATCCCAAAGTCTCTGTAGCATACAGCTAGATGGGCCCCCAGAAATAGCCTGAGTAACTGTGGTCCTTGGTCAGGCTTCACATAAATATTTCTAGGAGGAAGGACTTCAGCCTTGTTTTCAAAGTATCCCACTGAGGGCACAACTGCTAGGTAGTTTCTCTATGAATAAATTCTCTTTCCAGTACACCTTAAATCCTTCTTGATATAATATGCATGAGGAAATGACAAGAATATAATTTGGAAGTTTTAACACTGGTTGTTATAAGGAAGGCTTCAACTAAAAAAAAAAAAAAAATGCTTAGATGACAGTTTCAGAAACAATTTTGCCTGCAGCATCTTCTAGCTCAATAATTTAGTGGCAATGACAGTCACAAACACTGTCAGAAACAGCAGTGAAGTTCAAAAAATAAACAAAAATTCAAACAATAATATCCTGTAGATTTTTAATACGTCATTTACTGAATTGGCAACCACAACAGAATTTATGAGAGCCTTCTCGTTAGAAAAAACGAATTAATCCTACCTTTGCAGGTTTTCATGCACGTGATTGTCTCTACAATCCTCTAAGGCAGGCACATGGGGCTTCCTTCTCATCAAATACTATGTCTCTCCTGGTGTCACGGGTCACAAGAGACCTTTTGTGTCATTACTCCCTGGAGCTGCAATTCTTACTAGGAGTCCCCCGCAAACACAAAAGTAACCGGGCAGTTACATCATTCCATATAAATGAAGAAAGACTGCTATCTAAGAATAATGAAAGGCTCCATTTAAATTAATGTTACTTTTTTGTCAAGTGTTCATTTTACTTTGTAATAATGTAGTTCTGATCCAAATAGAGTTCTTGTGAGCTTTAAAAAGATCTCCAGAGATTAAACACAGGGCAGTAATTTAATTCTTATATTTTTATTTCTTGCAATGACATTTAGGGTTCAGTGTGATTTCAGATTTTTTGTGCCGTTGCTGACACCTTATGGAAACTGTTTTATTTGGAAATTCTGATTTGATTTTTAAAACTGTTCAGCTCTTGTTTACGAGTATTATTATTTAAAAAATGGATTTTTGTTCCTTTAAGGTATTCATCCTCTTGCTATTAATTCCTCACTTGATTTCATAATCCTGTTTGGGTCACTATGATTAGTTGCTATGGAAATTACCTCCTATGGAAATGATTCCGATGTCATTGTTGTAAGAATATGACTTTTAATGAATAATATCAATAGCAGACATCAACCCTTACTAGAAAAAGGAAATTTAATTAAAATGTTTTAAAAGGATTGATTCTGAAAATTATTATCATGGCCAACTTTTCTGATATTTTTGAATCGGCCATCTGCTTTTTAAATAAGTATTAAATGAACTTTAAGGTGTTAATCAGCTACTCACTTCCCCAAATTCCAATGTCACAATTGAAATTAGCACCATGCATAGAAAAATGGAAATAAAAGAACATTTCATTTACCTTTTCTCTAAACTAATAAATGTTATGCTTCACTTACGAGAGTTGATGTCAACAGGATTTCAGGGCTCATCAAGGAAACAACTCTGAATAGCACATTATAAATTCCCTTTAAAGATGAAGGATTTAATATTCCAAAATTCATCTCAGGAATTTGAAAGGTCAGTGAGTTAACTAGTGAGTTAAACAACAGATGAGAGCCAGTGAACCATTAGATGAGAATTCCAGAATGCTAAGAAGAAATTTTCTTGGGTGGATTCTATAATTTGTGGTTTGTATAAAACTTTTGAAACATTCCATTACTATTAAAATTCTCACAATGAGAATATGGCTCATATTTAACACATTTTAAATTACTAGACAGTCTCTCCCCAAAGAAATTTTAATGCCTTCTTCTGCCTAGTGCTTGCTCACTGCTGGCACTAATTTAGGAATAAATTAACCCTTCCAACAAGTAGGATATTGTCTAGAAACTGCCTTTTGCACTCTACCAGGGAAATCACTTATATTCTGAAGATCAGAAGTAAAAGAGAAATCCATTTCTTCATTATAAAGCATTTTTAATACCTAATAGCTTATTAATTATTGATGTAAATCACTATCATATTTACCAACATAATTACATATTACCATATCTCTAGTGCTTCTGAATTAAGCCTAACAGTTATAGATTTTGTTAAATGCTTTATACATTAAAGGTCTTCTATACTTGTGCCTGCAACCATGATCTAGGGTCCAAAATGTCTTTGATAGATTTCTGCCTTGGAGCTGGCACTGGCTTGGCTTCAAAATTGGTTTTAGTGTCTATGTGTTCACCATCATTTAAATGATTTTTCCTGGCAGGAAGAAGTTTTCGAGGAACAGCCATCGGTTTCTGTAAGTGATGCATTAGGGTTGATAATTTGGTATCCAAAGGCGAGGTCCAAGACACACTTGTTTTCTCCCAGTTGTCCTTAACCAATTGATCTGTGTTGCTCTGGGTTTTTAAGCTGAATGGAGCTTTATCAGAAGGAGGAAGGGGAGCGCGTCTTTTTTTCCCTTTCCCATCATGTAACTGCTTGCTTGAAGGAGATAATACCTTTTTCTGGATAACCACTTGATGATTATCATCAAAGAGGCTGGCCCAAAGAGGTGGTGAGGATTCTTCATGCTGACTAATAAGAAACTGTCCATTTGTCTCTTCAAGTTTTTTTTGTATTGCATCAGTTAAACTTTCAAGTTTTACAGGTGAATCAATGCCTGTAATAATTTTGAGAAAAAATACATGGGGGAAAACTCAAAAGCTGTGTACATTTTGAGTTATTGTTTTCTAAACCAGTATCTGTAAGTCATCAAAACACATTGGATAAGCAAGTGGTTTTGGTTTAAAAATAACCCTACCAACAGAACCAAAAATAAGATCGTTCACTATGCACTGCACACACACACACACACACACACAAATATATTCCAAATATTAAATGAGTAAAAGCCAGTTTTCAAAGGAGCGGAGTTACATCAGGTTTTTCAATCCTATCGATTAAATATTTATTAAATAACTTTTCTTGGATTTAAAATCTATTCTGGGGGCGCCTGGGTGGTTCA